ATCCATCCATCCATCCATCCATCCATCCATCCATCCATCCATCCATCCAAGTGTTACTTTTATGCCTGAAATTTTAGTCACAACTAAACCCAAAAGGAACCACAATCGTACAAGTCAGTGGGGTATAAAGAATGGATAAATGCCTCCTCCCCAAAAAAAACAAGCCTACTTTGATTATTACAGAATTAAATTCTAAATTATAATTACCTTTAGAAGACTTTTAATGCATTTTGGCATTTCATGCATTAAAATGTCATCTGGTAAACATTTCTTTTACTATATTCTAGTTTCTGTTGTTCCAGTACCAACACATAGTGAACCATGGCAGCTATAACTGATGCTCACAACACATGTAGTCCATTAAATCTACTTTGTGATCTCATTTTCTGACCATACTGTGCAGCTTACATTGAATATGGAGGACTCTCAGCACCAAACATGTAAAAAGTTATCGGCATTGCCTCTTAGAGTTATTAACTTCCCTTATTTTCATGTCTACGTCTCTCCATCCTTTCACAGGTTTGGCACATTGTGGGATGCTCTCAGTGAACGTTATGATCCAAAATGTATTAGGTGACTTTTGTCCTGGTTAGCAGTGCCCAAATCTTCAAACTACTGTATGTAAGTGAAGTAATTCTTTGTATTTTTTCTCCCACAGAGAGTTTTTTGTCATTTCACATACTCTGTGAAGCAGACCTCTCAACACATCGTGCAGGACAGGGTCCTCCAGCGGAGTTGCAGGGATGTACCAGGAGGTAGCCTTCCTGGCAGGAAACACTGACCACCAGTTCACCCCCTTTCACTTCAAACGTGTAAAGAATCCACAAGAGGTCACATCTAAGAAGGGTTTGTTCTACAAGCGAGCCCGGGTCCTGCTCAAGCCTCTGCCCCACCAGCAGGATGGAGACAAGACTGGCCTGGCCGACAGGGCGGCCATTATCAATGTGGGGGGCATCAAGTACCACATCCCCTGGTCCACGCTGGATGAGTTCCCCTTGACCCGATTGGGCAAGCTGCACAGTTGCAGCAACGAAGCTGAGATCATGGATGTGTGTGACGACTATGACGGTAGTCGCAACGAGTATTTTTTCGATCGAAACCCATCTGCCTTCCGCATCATTGTGACCTTTTTGGCAGCGGGGAAGCTGAGGCTTCTGAGGGAGATGTGTGCCTTGTCCTTCCAGGAGGAGCTGCTGTACTGGGGGCTGGAGGAGAACGACCTGGAGTGGTGCTGCCTTAGGAAGCTGCGCCTCCGGGAGGAGGAGTACAAGGAGCAGCAGAGACTGGAAGAGGAGGAGGCGGAGCTGACCGCACCACAGTCCTGCGAGGAGAGCCAGCAGCTCCCAGGGACACCAGAGGAGCCCCCCAGAAGAGGCTGCATGCTCAGGCTGAGGGACATGGTGGAGAACCCACATTCAGGTGTACCAGGAAAACTCTTCGCCTGCCTCTCAGTCTTATTTGTTGCCATCACTGCTGTGACGCTGTGTGTCAGCACCATGCCGGACCTGCGAGAGGAGGAGGAGCGGGTAAGTTCATCCACAAAATGACCAGTTTATTCTTCTCTTTATTTTTTACTGAATTAAATTTACTGCCTAAAATACTTTAGACGCATCTTGTAAATTAATAATAATAATAATAATAATAATGATGATAATAATGATGATGATACATTTTATTTGTAGATGCCTTTCTTGGCACTCAAAGTCACCTTACATTGTCAATCATAAAAACAGACACAATATAAAACAAGTAAAATAGAATTAAAATAAGACAATCACAGTGTGTAGGCTACTTTAAACAGATAAGTTAGTTTAATTAAAGTTTAAAGTTACTAAACTTCTGCTGCATTTGTCTACAACATCATGTTAATACAGTAAAAAGAAAAAAATAGCTTTTTCTTGAGGGATTGGAGTTTGTTTGTGTTTTATTGTTGTTGTTGTCTCTAAATGTTGCATAAATAACATGCAGAGTTAAGATTATTTCTACAAGTTTCTTCACTGCATCACGAGCAACTATCTCGTATAATTCTAAATCAGAAAATGTTTGAATATTATCATAACAATTAAAAAATTTTACCAGATTTAGGGTGTTAAGAAAAAACACTTTATATTCTTATTTTGTTCTATTTCCTACAAATAAGTCTTTAGCTGTGCACCAGTGTGATGGACTGAACTGGCCCAGGGTATTTTTCTGCTTTATTTTTAATTTATTTATTTTTTCTGCAGTCCCACAGAGGTAAATAAGTTTTGTCAGTGATGGTCACATGGACATACCTTTAAAAAAAAAAAAAGATCTGGAATACTGACTTGTATGAACACAATCCACATTTCCTTTTGTCCATTGTCCTCAAACTGTGGTCCAAGAGGTCGTACTCAGGCTCTCTTTAGCAGCACAAATGGACAAATTTTGGTATCAACTATTTACAAGTTAAATAACAAGCTAACTCATGAACTGAACCGTAAAAAGCAAATAAAAAGCCAAAAAGATGTGTGAAAATGGAAATTACTTACAAAAACAAAAACAGGATATTTCCGGGACCCCAATGGAAATTCAAGTCAAGGCCACTAAATGATGACTTGTGGCTACCTAATCAGCATCAGTGAGGCCATTTGATTCAAGTTATTTTAAACTTGTATTTAATTGTGTGTCAGAAGGAGAACCAAGGCTTTAGTGTATGTGGTAATGTATGTGGTAATTTCTGTGAAATATCACATCTGAAACCAAACCCTTCTATCAGTGTTTGGTGTGTTTTTGTCAGCAATTCACCATGAATTAGTGCAATGATGGAAACTATTTGCAAAGAATGAAAAAGGGGAAGGCAGTAGAACCTGATGACATACCAGTGGAGGTTTATAAATGTCTAGGAGAGATATAGTGAGGTTTTTGACTCAAATATTCAGTGAATATTTTGATATATATCTGGAGAAAATGTGTTAGGAATAGATAAGTGTGCTGGTGCCCATTTTTAAGAACAAGGGTGATATATAGAGTTGTAGCAACCAGTGTTGTAATGTAACAAAGTAGAAACATGTCGTTACTGTACTTAAGTAGAATTTTGACATATTTTTACTTTACTTCCTTATTTACATTTCTAGCGACTTTCACTTTTACTTCACTACATTTCCTCAATAAAATGTGTACTTTTACGCCAATACATTTCCCTTAACCATCTTAGTTACTAGTTACACAATTTTAAATGAGAAGAAATCTGATTGGACAATGCTTGTTTGTTCTCCCAGTCTGGACTTCATGCGGCCACTTCTCTCTCCCTCACTGACACTCTCAATCACAAACTCAGCCTCTCCCCCACCGCTTGTGGGAAAACTGCAGCTCCCACTGTGAACAAGCTACCGTAGATGTACTGTATATACAAATATCAATCGTTACAATAGATCTTTGTTGACAGTGGAGACACATTCCAGGTAGGTGTGAAAATGACGGTATCTGCTAAAGGAGGTTTGATGTTCTCCAGGACATGAACTGCTTCTTATATTATCCTATAATATATCCTATATTATGAATTAGTCAGAAAGAAACAAGCCATAACCAAACAGAACCTAGCTCAGTAAACAAGCCGACTACACAACAACGTGAGCTTTCTAACAGCTTTGATAATAAAGGTTCATAAAGGTTGAATGAATATACTTCGTTAGAATTAAACTTTTTAAATATCAATCTTTCATTGTTCAGTTCAAACTTTCCAGGTTTTTGTCACTGGATATTGCACCCAATAAATGTTGTTTTGGAAATTCTAACCATTTGCTTTTACTTAATACTCTTACTTTAAGTATATTTTAGAAGAGAAATTTACTTTTGATACTTAAGTACATTAAATGTCCGATACTTTAAGACTTTTACTTATCCAACATTTTTTCAGTCAGGTCATCTGGACAGTTTCTTTTTTTTTGTTCTGAAACGTTTCGCCTTCGATCCAGAAGGCTTCATCAGTCAAGGAAACACAGAACAAAACTGATTCTTCCCCCAACAGCTTACTCCAAAGTGGAACAAACCAGTTCTGCTTGTGATAAGATGGTCTCTTTGGTACGCCCCCTCCTCCATTGCTGGCCCTCTTCCTTGTTGACAGTTATGTCAAACTGGTTGAAAACAACAAAGTCCATGCTCAATAATCCAGTACAATTTTAAATTTAAATAATCCAATATATTTTACTTATGTAATAATTTTAAAGGCGACTTTAACTTTTACCAAAGTAATTTTATGGTAAGATACTTGTACTTTCACTGAAGTATCACTTTGAGGTACTTTATGCAACACTGATAGCAACTACAGGGAATTAAGTTGATGAGTCACAGAACGAAGATCTGGGAGAGAGTTGTGGAAGCAAGACTTAGACGAGAGGTGACTGTGAGCAGCAGTATGGTTTCATGCCAAGAAAGAGCACCACAGATGCCATCTTTGCTTTGAGGATTCAAGATTCAAGGTTCTTTATTGTCATTCACATCGCATGTGGTACTGTACATGTACATGAGATAGAATGAAATTTTGTACACAGGGTCCCAGTCACATCCAACAATAGCAAAAATATAAAGTGCAAAAAGAAACAGATGCTGGTGGAGAAGTACAGAGATCAGAAAGAACTCCATTGTGTCTTTGGGGATTTTGAAAAAGCATATGACAAAGTGCTGAGGGAGGAGGTGTGGTATTGCATGAGGAAATCTGGAGCTGCAGAGAAGTATGTTAGACTGGTACAGGACATGTATGAGGACAGCAGGACAGTGGTGAGATGTGCTTTAGGAGTGACAGATCAAGGTGGAGGTGGGAGTGCATCAAGGATCGGCTCTGAGCCACTTCTTGTTTGCTCTGGTGATGGACCGACTAACAGATGAGGTCAGGCAAGAATCCCCATGGACTATGATGTTTGCAGATGACGTGATCTGTGGTGAGAACAGGGAACAGGTGGAAGAGAACTTGGAGAGGTGGAGGTATGCACTTGAAAGAAGAGGAATGAAAGTCAGACATAGTAAGACAGAGTACATGTGTGTGAATGAGAGGGAGGCCGGTGGAACAGTGAGGCTACAAGGAGCAGAGATCACAAAGGTGCAGGACTTGAGGGACTTGGGGTCCACTGTCCAGGAAAATGTGGAGTGTGGTAAAGAGGTGAAAAACAGAGTCCAGGCAGGATGGAGTGGATGAAGAAAAGTTTTAGGAGTGATTTGCGACAAAAAGGTGTCAGCAAAGATCAAAGGAAAATTTTACAAGACAGTGGTGAGACCAGCTATGTTGAATGGTCTGGAGACAGAGACATGAACAAAAAGACTGGAAAAAGAACTGGAAGTAGCAGAAATGAAGATGTTGAGGTTCTCCTTAGGAGTGACAAGGATGGACAAGATTAGGAATGAGATCATCAGAGGTACAGCCCAGGTTGAACAAGTGGGAGATAAAGTTAGAGAGGACAGACTGAGATGGTTTGTACATGTCCAGAGGAGGGACAGTGGTTTGATCCTTGAACATGGAGGTACTTGGATGAAGACAGAGGATGCAGAGGACATTGTAAGATGGAGAAGGATGACTTGCTGTGGAGACCCCTGAAGAGGGAAAATCCAAAAGAAGAAGAAGAAGAAAGACATTTTATTATTGGTAAACAATATTTGATCTGTTTAAAATGTTTTAGTACAAACTTAGAAAGCATTCATCCATCCAGCCATCCTTTTTTGCTCATAAGCTTATGCCTTAACTACCTCAAATGATTAATTTTAAAGTAGGCTCTGCCCCGAGCTCCCCCTCAGAGACAATGAGGCTCCTCATCTATCTTGAAGTTGGAGCCTGGCCACCCTGAAGGAGACTCATTTCAGCCACTTGTATTCACAATCTCATTCTTTCAGGGTGCATTCACACCAGCCCTGTTTAGGCTGCTTTAATCGAACTCTAGCTCGTTTTCCCAGAAAGTCCGGTTCGTTTAGGGAGGTGTGAACGCGCCATCGAACTCTGTCACGGAACAAAAAGGCAAACTCTGGCCCGGGCTAAAACCTAGGTCTCGGTCCGGTAGAAGCGAACTCCAGCACGGTTCGAGTGCAGTGTGAATGTAAACAGACCGGGCCCCGCTCCACAGGGTAAACAAACAGCATTTCTCTGACCTTATATGGAGCCGTCAGCTGACTTGTGTGAAAAACAATATTCTTCATGGTCTTCTGTCTCATCTTCTACTCATGCTAAGTCCATTTTTGAAAAATGACAAAATATAACTCCTAAAACTGCTAAAACTTGATGCCACTTCGTTTTTATTTTTATTTACAGAAGAAGAAGAAGACGTGTCTTCAGAGGTTTTTGTGTCGTTTCTTTCAGTAGTTCTTGGTGCAGCGCCCCCACAGGCGAGCGGGGGAATAGGTTGGTTCAACAGGTTGACTCGACTGCACAGTGCAGTGTGAATGCAAACTCACCAGCTCAAATGTAAACAAAAGCTCATGAATATTGGTCCCGAACCGAGTCTACCGGACTATCTGGTGTGAAAACGACCTCAGTCATGAGCGACACCTTATGACCATAGGTGAGTGTTGGACAGTAGACAAA